TTCAACATAATTTCAATATAGCTATTGATAACTTGGTTCTTAGTGGTTGAATTGTAGTAGGACAAAACAAGTCGAGACTCTTTTGTTAGGCGGTGCTAGGGTACATTGATCAGTCCAACCAAAATACACCAGACAATATTCGTGGAAATTGTTATGCATAATTCATATATCGTCTCTGGTGCCGGTCGTCTGAAAAATTGTTTTCACACCGGCCTCAGACCAATCTGGACAAAATTTAAAAAAAAAATCATATGTCCGAATCACTCTTCTGAATAACAGTACGTGAAACTAAAAAAAAGCATCAACGTGTGTCCAGATCACTTTTCTGATTACAATACGTGACCATCATGGTTAATAGAAACGCCTGTAGACAGCAGACGTCCAGTTTTTCGGACTCATTTGCGTTGTGATAGAAACGAAGTTCTTTGCAGTCTTACTTTCTTAAGCAAAATTTTTAGATTGTTAAACAACATAATTACAGTCTAAAGTAACATTCTCAGATTCTTAAGCAACATTCTTTCAGCCTTCTTACTGTTGAGTAACATCCGTACATCCATAAGCAAGTGAACACTCTTACAGTCTTAAGGAATATTCTTGGTCGTAAGCAACTTTTTACCGTCTGAAAGCAACATACTACTTCAAACACTAACAGCAGGGCCTAAAGCAAATGCGTTTTCTACCACAGTACAGATACCATCTAGGATTGTACAAGGCTACGAAAGAAAGAACCGATGAGACTTACAACTCCTAGATTCTTCCTTAGAACTAGCACAACTTTGTTGTCATTTAGCCGAACTTGTCTAGTCGACAATACACATCAGACGAATCTAGGAATTAAAAGTGGCCAACTAGACATCCAAAAGTACTTGTCCTTTTCTGTACATTTCTGTAAGAGTTCTGAGATTCCTACTGTTGCTGTGATGCTATGCTTGCTTTTTGGTCGCTATCCGTTAAAGCCAGTTTGTGCTTGTCCCTCTGTATTTCAGTACGAGTTCGATGGGTGCTACTGTAGCACTGTTCTAATAATGTCCAGTGATGTTTCGTCCATTGTTACCATGGCGGTGCAATGCCCTCAGACTTTCTGTTCAGAGAGTTCTAGACTGGCATCGTACAAGTACCAATGATAGCACGAAAGTTCATTTGAGTTGGTTAAATGTACCATCATGTACCAATAATGTCTATGTCGTGCACATTGCCTTCTCCCCTGTTCTTTACTCAGGTTGTGCATGAGGTACAGGGATGTTATATACGCGGGATGTTGCTTGCTGAGGCTTGTGTGTTTGTACACGACTATTGTACATGTGGGATGTTGCTTGCTGAGGCTTGTGTGTATAAGCGCTGTTGTTTGCTGAGTTTCCATCAGGCGGCGGTGTGTACAGGTTACATGATGTAGTTGTTGCGTACGGCCCACCGTCCTCAGATCCCGTGCTGTGCTCATCAACACTCGGGGCAGTTAGATGCTCGTGATTGCTCCCTCCTGTAGGCTGAGTGCCGCTGTTGGGTATTGGTGGGGAGATCTGTTGCAAAGGGATGGAGGGGCCCATGCTGACTCCCTGACGGCGATTGCGGCCCATTTTGCCCCTCATCCGTACTAGCCGAACGAAGCAGCTGATGAACATCAAGGTCAGCGCGCTTTCAACCACGAAGATGGAGATGTAAACGATCTGGCTGAGCTCTCGGCCATTCGAGCCTGTGGAGCTAGGAGAGGACTTTGAGATTCCGGTCTGTGTGGGGTGTGTTGGTGCGGTTGTCAAGCTGATGAACTGGATGTCGGGTGTCTTTGTAGTGTTGACTGCTGCCCGTGGTAGGGTTGGTGTGATGTTGAGGTACGAACCATTGATGAAGAGATTGAGAGACTTCTCCTCAGAGGCGTTGATCTTCGCTTTTTTGGTATCCATCATGACTGACACGGTAGTAGTGGCTCTTGCGGTAGGCTGTAATGGATTCGGTTCATCTTTGGTGGTAGAAGAGCCCAACCCAATGCTTTTCAGTGTGCGTTGAGCATGTGCTGTAGTTGTAGCTCTTGTCGTATCAACTTCTGTAGTTGTAGCTCGTGTCATAGACCTTTGGCGCTCACATTCCGCCAGGTGGGTAGACCCGTTTGCTGAATGCGGCTGGCTTGCCTCGTCTGGCCGCTTGCAGTAGAAATCTTCACGCTTTCGGCCCGAAACGAAGAAGCAGGCGGAACATGACGAGCAGCGCTTGTCGGCTCCTCTCTCCGCGCACGTTCTGTAGTTCAGGCCGTAGTAGGTGCAGTCACACGGAGAGGGGTTTTCCAAGATTATTGTCGAGGTGATTTGCGGCCAGCCTAGCTCATAGAGAGAACAGGACACGAGTTTGTTTTCAGCAAGGTACACATTCCCTCAGCTTGGGGAGATACTGAATGACTGCGTCAAGCCTCACATACTGAAGCCGGTTGCGACACATGTAGAGAGTCCCCAGAGCAGGAAGGTTGCACAGAGACTCCCAGACCACAGTCTCAATGGAATTGTCGCTGAGATCCAGGGAATACAGCTGAGGGAGGTGCGGCAGGGTATTCACGGTTGTGATGGCGTTGTACACAAGGTTCACCCGGTCGGCGTTTGGCGGTATGTCGTGAGGGACCGAGGGGAGGCCCTGGTACTTACAATCAACAGTTGTGCTAGGAAAAGGCAGTATCAGCTTCTTTATCTTACAGCCAGTCGGGAGGCAGTGAGTACGGCATGGCAAAAGAGATCCCAAAGCAAGGAGCATAATGGACCTACTTTCATGTTCACGGTCATGCGTCGTAAGCTGTCGTCCTGCAGTTTTCAAGCAGGCTGTGGGAGAACTAACCGCTTATAACAATCTAGCACAGTCTTTTTGGTAACAAAACAAAGGAACTTTGTTCGACACATGCAAGATGAACCCAAGATACCTCCAGTGATCGTACCACGATCGTCAGGCAAATGCAACCAGAGACCCTTTGCCAGGAATACAAGCCCACAGGTTGCCAAAGTCTTCCTGCCGAAGATTAAGATTAAGTAAGATCATGCACATCCACAGACTGTGCCTGTCCACGTGAGGCCGTGTGTCCTGTATCTGGTATGGAGATGATAATGATGTATCTCGTGATGATTATGGAATAGATCATCTTCTTCCTGGAAGGTCTTCAGGGATAGAATACATAGCATTTGTGCGCACGTTGTGCCCCACGTGATGCATGATGTACAAGATAATCAATAAACTGGTAGACCCACCGACTACTAACGACACACTCACTCACTCACTCCTCACTCACGCACGCACGCACGCACCCACGCACTCACTCACTCACTCACTCACTCACTCACTCACTCACTATCTCATCACTCACTCACTCACAATCACTCACGCTCGCTCGCCCGCTCACTCTCACTCGCTCACTCACTCACTCACTCACTCACTCACTCTCATCACTCGCTCGCTCACTGACTCACCCACTTACTCACTCACTCACTCACTCACTCACTCACTCACCCACTCTCTAATCACTCACTCGCTCCTCACTCATTCACTCGCTCGCTCACTCACTCACTCACTCACAGACGTACGCTCACTCGCTCACTCACTCACGCACTCACCCACTCTCTAATCACTCACTCGCTCCTCACTCATTCACTCGCTCGCTCACTCATTCACTCACTCACTCGATCCCGTCGCCGTAGAGACAGTTTGCCTGGTCACAAAAATAAAGCATCTAACACAGCTCAGAAAAGATCAAGAAATAATCATGCCTTCGAGCGAGTGCAGGATAGTTTGTACTTCATGTGAAGCCGGATGAAGCAGGCTATGGACGTAAAAGTCACTGCGATTTCAGCTATAACAATGGAGATGTAGACAAATGAAATTTCGTGATTCCCTTCGCCCATGGAACTAGAAATGGTGGTATGGATTGATAGAGCTGTAGAGCTGGCATTGGTTTTTGATGTTTCTACATGTATGTCCCAAGGTTGGATATGTGTACTTCCCGAAGCAAAAGTGTACAAGATGTCATTCTCAGTACAATGCAGTTGGTTTGTAGGCTTTTGGATAACAGACATGGCTGAAGCTGTGATTGTAGTGGTAAGTTTTGGGGTGGGTTCACAATTAGCCATCCGGTTAGACACTTCTGACAAAGGCAGCTGGCGAAACTGGCTTGGAAATTTGCACGCAAGGACTCCGACATTTTGGTAGCTAGCAAGAAAGCAGGCTGAACACGACAGACAACAGGCCTTCTCGTTTCCTCCTTTACAGGCTTCTAAACACGCCATCTTTTCAATCAGCCAGAAGAGGTCGCAGTCACAGTGAAAGGGGTTGTCATTGATCCAGACTTCTTTCACCTGTGGCCACCCCAGGTCGTACTGAGAGAGAGACGTGATCTTGTTGTCACTGAAATCTACAAGCTTCAGTTTCGGCAGATGCTCAATGACGCTGTTCAGCTTGACCTGTTGCAGACGGTTTCCTCTAAGAAAGAGATTTACCAGAACAGGAAAACCTCGCAGACAGCCCCAGCACAAAGACTCTATGTTGTTCATCGTGAGGTAAAGTGTAGAGAGTTGCGGGAGTGGGGGCATGTGTGTGATGTTGCGGAGATCATTGAACGAGGCGCTCAGTCGTGCAGTGTTGTGTGGTATGTTGTTTGGTAGCGCTGTGAGGCCCAGGCCAAAACAGTCTACTACTGTTCCTGTGTACGACATTTTCAGTACTGTACATTTTGAAGCTGCCTGTTCGATGTGACGCGGCGTTGTGTGGTTCAGACAGATCCACGTAGGCCACAGAGACCCCAAAACAAGGAGGACAAACAACCCACTTACCGTCATAGTGTACAGCAAAACTGAGTTGCAACACCGAGAAAAAAGTATCACGACGTTTCTGCAGTCCGTATTGTAGTGCACTTTTCCTGTCTTACAACTAATTCAAAAACATGTGAAGACGCTATAAATACCCAAGGTCCTGCTCCTTTCAGTCTCTGATCTCCTTACGAAACAATATATGCAAAGCCCTTGACATGGCAACTTCTAGACAAATATGAATTTTAATCCGCCTTCTCATGCACACGACAGGCCGAATGACCTAGAATGCCAACAGAATGAGAATTCTTTGTATATTTCCTACATATAGAAGTGTACATTCTAGACATTTTCAGTGCATTCCAAATATTTGTGCCCATTCTGGTGCATTCTGAAGATCCTTACGGTATGCACGTGAAACATTCTTATTGCTTTCGATGGAGAACCAAAATGGGCCGGAAAATTTGGTATACACTCGTGTCAAAGCTTATGGGCTGAACAAACTTTTCGGTCGTGATGTATACGTAGTCTTAAACCAGCTAAACTATACTGGATATAGAGGTAGAATAAGTTGCCAGCCTAAGCGTAGTTTGCGTTCGTTAGGAAAATGTAACCAGGGCTCACACCCCTGGTCTTGATTGTCTCTATTGTTGCCGAATTCTACTATCCATAGAAAGTTGTCACATTGGTTCTCGGATTACAAAACGAGAGGCCTAAAATTTATTCATATATTCTTTTAGGACAAGGCTTCCTCCACTTGCATGAACGTGTCCACGTGGACTATTGGCATCATCCCTTATATTAATAAAGTTATATGCGCAATTGGCGTTTTTACTGATGGTTACAGAAAAAAGTTCACATCGCTTTGTATATTTCAGCTTATTATACCAGCTTATTCTACTGACATTTGACATTATGCCTACTTATGACACTATTAACTATATAAAATGATGTCTATATAGTGAGGATGCCCCTACTGTCTTGGTTGCAACGAGTTCCACTCTCTGATAGTTCTCGGAAAAAACAATTTTTAAACACCTCAATCCTGGGTTGATAACTCTGGTACTTGAAAGCATGACAATTTCTTGTTTTCTAAGCTGGTATCAGGTACTTGCATGTAGTAGCTACAAAATGTATTGCCTGCTTTGTCCCATTTACCTGCATAAGAGGACAACTTTTTTCCTTCACGAAGTAAAGGTATTTATAGACAGACTGCATAACTTATTGCATGTTATAATGCATGAAATTACTGCACTATGAAACCAGACAATACAAAATCCTTGAGCTGGCCTCGGTAAGATTGCTTTTGTGTTCACTTTAATCAATTTTCTTGAAAACCATTTCATCAAAATATCACAAAATACACAAAATAGTTTCTTTATACACTGTACATGTGTAATACACAAAATATTGCCATTAGTCCATGTTGAGTACCCAGTATTTAAAAAAGTGTACTTTTCACACACAGTCTGTGTATTCATCATTGTATCTAAGGCCAGACCAAGTAAATTTTATGGATGACGTCCTTTGGAGACCCTAAATCTAATGCGAGAGGGCGAAAAAAAAAAAAAGAATGGCCCTAACAAACAAGATGCATAGATTAGGAATATACTAGTAAGAGACGACAAATATTAGGACACAAATTGAATGAGGTGACACAGTGTAACAAGCAAGAAGTCTTATTCATCATCAAAACAGCAATAAATCAGGTGGAACAGCAGTTATCGTCCTGTCCTGTTTCTTTCATCACATTTTTGCAGGCCTGCAGAAACAAAGCATGTGCTCTTTGCCAATTTCGCGTTACGGGGTTCACGTCAATCTAACGATTTGCGGCACATGTCGTGACTCTTTGGTCATAGTTACAGGAAGCGGAATTTCCTGTTGTCTATTCGGATGATTTGTTGTGTATTTATTTGAGTCCAACCGTCTTTACAAATCCTTAACGAACTCAGTCATTATGTTTTTGTGGTGTGAAAGAGAACATACCCAAGTCTACAAAACCACAGTTATGTATAATTCGAATATTTTCCATCCACCAACTGATTGCTCGTTCCCACTCTAGAAGATGATGAGTCGACCTGGGCACATGTACATATAGAATACAACACGGGGTATTCCGTATCGCCCGAGGTATCGGCCCGACCGCGGGTCGGATCGGCCGCAGCCGGAGGGCGATCCGACTCGCGGGAGGGCCGGGACCGAGGGCGAT